GAGTGAAGGCTGGATGAACGCCATCTTCACTGGAGCCCGTTCAGAATCACTCACCGGACTTCCTGTCACACGGGAACTAGAATTAATACCTGACTGAAGTTTGGGAAATAACCAGAAGGACTCACTAAAACAGTCGGTGGCTCAGTCAGTAGGGGCTTGGACTGTGAGCTGTAGGGTCGCAGGTTCAAGTCCCCGAATAGACGTAACATGTTAGCTGTTACTTATTTGACAGATTTCACGACTGTCGACTTTTATATATTTCTCTCTTTAGTTCTGTTTTATTTTGTATTCTAGTTGTGATTGGTGCTGATTGGTTGAGACTGACTGAGCTCTGATTGGTTGAGACTGATTGAGCTGTGATTGGTTGAGACTGACTGAGCTCTGATTGGTTGAGACTGATTGAGTGCTGATTGGTTGAGACTGACTGAGCTCTGATTGGTTGAGACTGACTGAGTTCTGATTGGTTGAGACTGATTGAGCTCTGATTGGTTGAGACTGACTGAGCTCTGATTGGTTGAGACTGATTGAGTGCTGATTGGTTGAGACTGACTGAGCTCTGATTGGTTGAGACTGATTGAGTGCTGATTGGTTGAGACTGACTGAGCTCTTATTGGTTGTGACTGACTGAGCTCTGATTGGTTGAGACTGACTGAGCTCTGCATGCCCTCAGGGTGCTGTATGAGGGGAAGGAGCAGCTGAAGCCGGGCTGGTTCGTGATCGAGACGACGCCCTACAGCCGCTCTGCATCCCTGAGCTCGGGAGGGGGCCCCACGGCGCACCGGGTGTTCCTGATGTACCGCCGGGCGCTGGACTCTCAGGGCCTCCACACGCTGGGCGTCACAGACATCGCCCTGCTGCTGCCCGGCAAGGCAGAGGTCGCCCCGCACACCTTCTGCCGCGTGGACAAGAACCTCAACACCGGCATGGTGAGCGTCTGCGGGGGGGAGGGGCTTAGTATACGTATATATAACATGTTCATGCTAGTGCTCAACTTCTTTACTGTGATATCCCATTCTTGAGAATTGGGACAAAACATTATTTTTACATTTGTTAAATGTTTACTCTTCGAATATGCTGGGAAAATATATTTTGAACGATTAAAGTTTTGTATTAATTTATTATTTATTTAGTTGCTTTTTCAGTTAATTGTTTTATTTTGAGTGTCTGCGAGGGTAGAGGGTTTTAGTAGGGGTGCCTGAGACCCTGTACCTGTACTTCAGTGACTCATCTGAATACAATTCAACAGACAGAAGTGATTATTGGCCAATTCATTCCATACATTTATTTAGCTGTTTGTGAAACTGCTGGATATTTGTGTTTTAATTTGCATATTTCAAAATAAGTGCAGAAATTAAGTAAATTGTCATTAATGTGTTATTTATTTACTTTTTTATTATTTGTTTAATTTTAATTTTAAGTACCGTTTTTTCATTTAATTTATTTGAGCATTTCTCCAAAACTACTTATTTTAAGTACAAAAAACGGGGAAATTAGGAATAAAATCTTCCTCAATCTTCATTCATTCTCAAATCACGTGCGGTTAGACTGTCTTAGACCGCTGCATTTATGTAGATATTTAATTAATGTGATTAGAAATAAAGCAAAATTAAAACATGATTAATTGGTTTTACGATGTTGTTGTTGCTGGTTTTTAGTTGTTTTTATTCTCTCTGTGTTCTGGTTTGGAAATGACTCTGTAGGTGTGCTTTGAAAGGTCAACATTAACAGTGTGTGTGTGTGTGTGTGTGTGTGTGTGTGTGTGTGTGTGTGTGTGTGTGTGTGTGTGTGTGTGTGTGTGTGTATAGTGGGGTCCGGCTCTCTACGTGTGCTTCAAGCGAGCCGTGGCCAAAGCCAACGCCCTGCTGTACGAAGCCAGTGAGTATCTCTGCAGCAAACACAGCATGAGAAGAGAGACATGTGGTTTATTTGATCAACAGTCTAAGTTATTATACATGAGAGTAACACAAGCGTCTCTTCTGGGCAAAAGGTACGGCCCCGCCCACTTTTGGGGGGAAACAAAGCTGTCATTTGAACGGCGATCAATACAAAATCTGAAGCTTTTGCCATTCTGATCAGAAATGTAAGAAAACCATGAATTTGTGGATCTTCAAAGAGCCCGATTACGATGGCCAGTCAGGCAAACAATGACATTACATCATTTGAAATCGACGATCGGGCTCGATATATGGTTAAATATAGCAGCAGGCGATCGATGTCCACAGATGAGAGCAACATCCACGTCACTTTACGGCCCCGCCCACTTTTGGGGAAACCAACGCTGTCATTTGAACGGCGATCGAGCCTGAAGCCACAGAGCTCTTCTGTTACTGTCCTTTCTTCTGAGAGGAAGTTCAGAAACACTGAACTCTGGATTTGTTTTAATGTTTGAGGTGCAATAAACCACACAGCAGCTTTTTGGCTGATAAAACTATTATGTTCTGCCTCGCTCATGAGAGTAACAGCTGGAGAAATTACAGCCTCGCCTACTGATTTTAATTCA